GGTGCCTGTACGGAAATAAGACTTTAATATCTGGGTGTTTCTCATTCCTTTTGGCTGTGTTTCCTTTAGTTCTGCAATTTTTATTCTGGTTTTGTAATCAATGGTGTAACCAAGATGACACTGGTTGCATCGGTGGATGTGAACTGATGCCAAAGATTGGTGACTTTTGTTCCAGTGGCGGCAGCACGGCGAAGGGTACTCATGCCTGTCCACCAGATCCATTGTCCATGGCATAGCACCTAACAAGAAGTACTGTAAAGTTGGAAAATTTCTTCACTTTTTGCCTTTATACTCTATGTTTTGGTTTATTTTCATAGTTATCATAGAATCCCTACAGTGTGGAAACAGGTTCTTTGGCCGAACCAGTCTACACCGACCCTCAGAGCATCCCATCCAGACCCATTCCACATAACCCACCTAATTTACACCTCCCTGGACAGGATGGGCAATTTAGCGTGGCCAATCCACCTAGCCTGCACAGCTTTGGACTGTGGGAGGAAACCGGACCACCCGGAGGAAACCCACGCAGACACGGGGAGAATGTGCAAACTCCATACAGACAGTCGCCCGAGGCTGGAATTGAACACAGGCCCCTGGCGCTGTGAGCCAGCAGTGCTAACCATTGAGCCACTGTTCCGCCCCAGTTCCTGTGTTTTAAGATGGCACTAGAGAGTGGTGATACTATACAACACTTTTCACTGTATTTTGTGATAAGACACACGTGATAATAAATAAATAAATCAGATCCCTGAAATGGTTTCTGTTCCTCCTCATTTTTGCGCCATTTGGTGCCCTGACTTCATAAAGGCTCATTGCGTACTTTGAAAACCTCTGCTGATAACCTTGTGCCCCATGTGTAGTTGAGATAGTTTCACATCTGCCTGCTGATCACACACTACCTTTATCCTTCCTGGTTTTTATTTTAGGAACTACATCGTGCATCTCAAAATTTGGATAGATGGTGGCCTGGAAATATTGGTCTCAATTGCCTTCTGAACATTAGCTCTGTTTGATGGTAGCCCTGCATCCAAAGATGTAGCTCTGAGGTGTAACATGGCAACATGAAAATCTTATTTTGATTCGATCTTACACTTTAGGATAAGTGATTTAACGGTCTAAGCTATTCACTTGGCCAACTGTTTGATCTACGGTAATGTGGAGAGCATCATATGGGTCACAGCTCATTTAGTTTACATATCCCTGAATGTTCTGCCTGTATACTGTGGCCTGTTGACAGAAATTATATCTTCAGGTGCACCAAACAGACAGAATATGACCATCAATGGACTGAATCTGACCTTTTTTTGGCTAAATCTGAGTTGCGTCGATTTTGTTGGAATTTATTTTCCACCACGAGGCCTTGTGAGTTTCCTGTCATATCTAACAAATCTTGCCTCATTAACTACCTGCTACCATACCCCGTGTTGTCCCCACATCCAATTCCAGCTGCATCTCACCATGTACTGCTCCCAAAACAACCCACCACTAATCGCATATTCCACAATTCACCAAGATTCTTTGCACCTATGCCAACTTTAAAAGCATATTGTGCACCTGGAAAAGAACTGTCAATCCAGAGATGTCCATTACAGTTCCTGACATTTGCCCTAGACATGGTAGATAGGGGGAAATGGCACCCCACTGTGTGGCCAGGGACCCAGCGGTCCTGCTGCGCAGGGCAGTATAGACACAGGACATCCTCATCCTCCAGGACTAGCAATGGAGGTCATGATGCCAGACCATGTCAACCTCCCCTAAGGTTGCCACTCGGGTAGGTGCAGTCCCAGCCATCTGGAAGAATGCACAATAATGTAAGAAAAAAAAATCAATAACCTTTTCCACTCTGCCCAAGCAGAGTGCCACCATTATCCCTCTGATCCCTCATACTCATGTTATCTCTGCTATTGTACCCAGCTCCTACCACTCTCACTATTACCTGCAAGATATTCTCTCACTCACAGTCACCCACCCGAACCCATGACATCACTGGACTACCTACTTACTTGCCTTGGACACCTCCCCACCTGCAACAAAAATAACTGTGGTACCACTAGCTTCCATTTCCCTTAATAATTTACTTCTCTCGGCTCAAGTGGAAAATCAGCATTTCCCCCTCCCCCCACCCCCACCATAGGGCAGAAAGAGTGAATACAGGCAATAGGCTGTCTGAAATTTGGCTCCTAGAGAATATCCTGACTCTGAATGTCCCAAGGTGGCCAACTAACTATTTCCATGTCCCTGGTCTGACATTGGAGTCTGCCCTTCACCTACTGTGCCCCCAAACACCAGGTCTTGTTATTACATGGTCTGCTATTACACACAACTCATTGTTAACCACTAATAGTTCCCATTAGTAGCTATTCATTCTCTAGGCTGATCATTATCCGCTCCTTTGCCTATCCAACTGTTCTCTCTCTTTGTGCTCTATCTTCGCCTATAGTTTACTCCTTACCACCAACCCCCACACTATCTTCCGTATAAAAAGACAAAGACAATTTTTTCCTAGCAATCATCAGTTCTAAGCAAAGGTCACTGAAGCCAAAACATTAAATCTGATTTTTCTCCACAGATACTGCCAGACCTGCTGAGATTTTCCAGCAATTTCTGTTTTTGATACTGATTTACAGCATCTGCAGTTCTTTCAGTTTTTATTGCCTTTGAGTAGATCGGAGATGTGCCATGAGGATTCTTAGAGGTTGGCACATGTCAGATACCAATGTTGGTGGATGTGGGGTGTGTATGATCAGTGCCATGAGATTTTGGTGCCAGAGCAATGTGGTTGAATCTCAGCTGCCCTATCTGGGCAATTAGGGATACACTGGCTCAGCCAATGATGTCCAAAACCCCATGAACGAATTTAAAAAAGGATGGAGGGATGGAACTGAATACCGTAGCGCGAAGTGGGTACAAGTAACCACAGTCAAATTTGTCATGGATTGGTTATTGATTACAATGAGGGGTCTTGCCCACCAACCAGAGAACTATAGGAGCCTCCTCCATGGTGCCTCTGTTGGGAAAACCCATTGGAATTAAAAGAACAGCTGGTGCTTAACTGGTCAGCATTGGGACTTTGCTGAGTTTTAGAACTCCAGCGGAAGAAATTCTACCCCAATGGTAGTTTTCCATTGCTTTCTACACCACCAAGAATGGCGGCTGTTGACACTAACCAAAGGACTGGATTGACAAAGGAACCAGGTCATAACTGAGTGAGAATAGGATGAAGGTTGCTGGCTGAAGAGGAGGGTGCTCATTTGAAAAGGAGAAAAGGAGAGGGATAATTCTCAATGCCCCTCCTTTTTCCAAATTCTGCATCCCTCAAGTAGTCATATCCTGACCCAAAATTGATCTAATAAACCTGAAGGAGTTTGCTTTTTGAACTCATTGCCTGATATTTCCCCCAACTGCTGGCTTGGAAATCAGATGCTAGGCTGGGCATTAATTGCCCCCCTGACAGCCACAATGGACTTAAGCAGAGATGAGAAAATGGTAGTGCCTCCACCCCACACAACTAAATGTCCCCTGCATCCTGTCTGCACTATTTTTTGTAATGCGTAACTGCTCGTACCTAATGGACTACCACTTGCCACTAGGCTTCATGTGCAACCCTGTTCTGTTCTTTCTGCTGAGAAAACAATCCGAAAGTATTCACAAGTCTGAACTCATTTTCATGAAGCATTTCCGTTCAAAATCAATTGGGCAGGAGATCATTATGAGAGTAGAACAGAGTAATGCGTATGTGCTAGTTACTACTGAAATATACAGCATCACTGTACTGTTAACAAGGCTTTATACCAGTCAGTTCAAGGCTAATATTGTCATGTATAGAACTGATGGACACGTCACAATATAGATTCAATGGAATTCAATGAAAAATTGAGTAATAAAGCTCCAGTCTGGAAGTAATACGGATTCACAAACTACTTCAGGGTTTGTGAATGAAAACTGCATTTTCTGAAGAAGGGTCTAGACCTGAAACGTCAGCTTTCTGCTCCTCTGATGCTGCTTGGCCTGCTGTGTTCATCCAGCTCTACACTTTGTTATCTCAGATTCTCCAGCATCAGCAGTTCCAACTATCTCAGTACACGAGCGCATGGTTTTTGATTATTATTCGTATACTGCTGGGTGTGCTGCACTGTTTTTTGAGCTGTGAAACCAAGTTGCCACCAGCCAATTCAGACAAATATAAAAGAGCCTTTTCCACACTGTGAATATCACTTAACCAATCACATCCAAATAAGTGCAGTAGTAATTCATCACTGTCATGGTAATGGAACCTGACTGTGTACAAACTGTCATACTTGTCAACTGAAAACAAAGACCACACCTCAAAAATAACTGTCAAGCATATTGCATGGCCTGAGGATGTGTAAGTTGCTGCATAAGTGCATGTTTCTTCTTTATCATCGTATAAGGCTTAGTACTGACAAAAAATTCCTGGACTTTTGATTGGTTTCCTTGGATCTTAGATCCTGCAGATGATGGAAATTTGTTGTCTTTAATACTTTCATTAAGAATCTGCAAACACTTTCTGAGTGCTTTTGCAATCAATCTCTTTCATAATGTATTGCAATAAAACCACTATCGTAACTATGAATCTGTCATGGACTGCTGACTGTCATCTGTTCTTCTGGCCAAGGCTTACTTTAAGTACAGTATTGTGTGTCTCATAATTTTAATGGGACTTTGAGTTGATTGTAATTTGTTTCTAAGGCCAAATCTGTCCTTTACTTTCTTTCTAAATCATTTCTTTCCTCTGCTCTTCTAGACATCCAACCCATAACACTCATCGTATCCAAGGGAACTTGTGAATTTCTGTTAGAAAGTGTGTGGTCATGTTCAGCTGGCATGTTCTCCCCGAATTTAAAGTATGAGCAATGTTAAGATTAGCAACTCAACGGGATGTCACTATCTGCTTCAGTCTTCTGGCTCTCAATTGGACAGCAGTTTGTGGCCTACAAAGTAAACTTGTTTATGTTAATACATTGCTACATGAACCTCACCTCAATTTCTCCTTCCATTATGCTGAGCAGACGCAGGAGGTCATCTTTGGAGAGCTCCAGTAACTTCTTTTGTCGCTCATTTTCTTCAAATGGTTTCTGTTGTTTCTTTACAGGACCTGATACACCCATTACCTTTTCTCCATCATTTTGACGATGAGTTTTCTTCTTCTTTTTACTGCCCATAGAAGTGCTTTCCTCACCTTCATAGTTGTTATCCCTGGATGCGCGTCCATGAGATGGAGATTCTCCACTGCTCCGGGACCTCATTCCAACCTACAATGGAGAAAGCATAGAAAGGTAAAGTGACAATATGTTTTGTTACAAGTGGTCAATAATTGAATCCATTTTCAAAGTCAGGTTTATAAAACCAACATGAAAAATAATTATAATTGATGGAAGTAAAGATTCTACTTCTACAAAATTCCAATTTAGGCCACAAAATGCAGCAATGCCCACTGCAGGGGGTGCCAGAGGAGTACAGGACAGATAATGTGCTACCATTATTCAAGAAGATGGAAGGAATAAACCAGGAAACGTGCCACTGCGTCTAATATCAGCGGAAGGGAAACTATTGTTAAAAAAATTTTGAGTGGCAGAATGAGTCTCCACTTGGAGGGGCAAAGACTGATCAAGAGTAGCCAGCATGGTTTTGTAATGCGGGGGTCATGTCTTATAAATTTGATTCAATTTTCTGAGGACTAGGTACATAGTTGTGGATAGTACAGTTGATGCAGTCTATATTGGATTCTGCAAGGCTTTTGACCAGATCCTATGTCATACAATGGTTAAAATGCTAGGAGCCCATGGAATCAGGCTTTTTGGCAGAGTGGTAAGAAGAAATGCAGCAATGCCCACTCATTTCAATTGAATATTTATTCATTCATTGCCTACATGTCCTGCAGAGTTTGAAACATTGGAATGAATTGACAAGAACTATTTGTTAGGCACCTATTTTCTTCTAGTGGTGTTGGTTATCTCATTTGGTTGGAAGATTAATATGTGGTGCAAAAAAAGTACCTAGGAATACAGGTTGAATCTTTGTCTCAATATATTTCACAGAGGCCTACCCACTTACCTTACCATATGCTTCCTCAAGCTAAACATAACCTGTTGTCTCTCTTTAATAGGAAGAAATGCTGTGATCCTTGTAGTCTATGATTCCATTCCATACCATTTTCTCCCTAATCTGTAATTCATTTTCCTTCATCCTTATACATCATGAACATTAATTGAAACACTTGGCACAACTCTTCCATTCACTAGGTGATGTATTGTTAACTGTAACACACTGTTCTTACGGGAATTGACATTTTAATTTTTTATTTGTATATCACATTTATTCATTTTATGACTGACATGATGTGTATCATCAAGTCATAACTTTTTCTACAGGACAGAAAGAGGCCCTTTATTCCATTACATCCCTGTTGATCATCAAGCAATTCTATTTCCCAACCCTTGACCCATAGTCTTGTACGCTATGGTCAAATGTTCATCTAAATTGTTCTAAAATGTCTTGAGAGTTCCTGCCTCTACCACTCTTTTAGGCAGTGTGTTCCAAAAACCTACAATTCTCTGGGTGAAAAGGTTTCACCGCAAATTCCTCTAAACCTCCTGTTTTTCACCTTAAAACTGTGCCCCCTCTTTATTAATCCCTCTACTAAGGGGAACAAAATTCTTCCTATCTACTCTGTCTATACCCCTCAGAACTTTGTACATTTCAATCATTTCCCCACTCAGCCCTCTCTGCTTCAAGAAAAACAACCCCAGCCTATCTAGTCTCCTTTCATAGCTGAATCATTCCATCCCAGGCAACATCTTGGTGAATCTCATCTGCATACTCTCTAGTGCAATCATATCGTTCTGTCGTGTGGTGGCCAGAACTGCACACACTATTCTAGCTGTGGCCTATCTAAGGATACATACAGCCCATCACAACCTTCTTGTTATTGTATTCAATGACTTGACTAATAAAAGCAAGTTTCTCATATGCCTTCTTAATCACCTTATCTACCTGACCTGCTTCAAGAATCTGTAAACATGCGTCACAAGGTTCCTCTGACCCTCTGAGCTTCCCAGGGTCCTACCATACATTATGTATTCCCATGCCTTCTTAGTCATCCAAAAATCCATCACCTTACACTTTTCAGTTTGCTGTTGTTCAGCCCATCTGACTAGACCTTCGATATCATCTTCTAGTCTAAGGCTTTTCCATTTACCATACCATCAATTTTCATGTCATCTGAGAACTTATTGATTATTCATATCTGAACCCTTAGCATACACAACAAACAGCAAGGGCCCCAGCATCAAACCCTGTGATACAGCACTGGACATAGGTTTCAGGTCACAAAAGCATCCTTTGACCATTCCCCTCTTCTTCTTACCACTAAGCCAATTTTAGAGTCCTATCTGCCAAAAAGCCTGATTCCATGGGCTCCTAGCATTTTAACCATTGTATGACATAGGATCTGGTCAAAAGCCTTGCAGAATCCAATATAGACTGCATCAACTGTACTATCCACAACTACGTACCTAGTCCTCAGAAAATTGAATCAAGTTTATAAGACATGATCTCCGCATTACAAAACTATGCTGGCTACTCTTGATCAGTCTTTGCCCCTCCAAGTGGAGATTCATTCTGCTACTCAAAATTTTTTTAACAATAGTTTCCCTTCCGCTGATATTAGACGCAGTGGCATGTAGTTTCCTGGTTTATTCCTTCCATCTTCTTGAATAATGGTAGCACATTGGTTAGCACTGCTGCCTCACAGCACCAGGGACCCAGGTTCGATTCCAGCCTTGGGTTTTTGTCTGTGTGGAGTTTGCACATTCTCCCCGTGTCTGCGTGGGTTTCCTCCCACAGTCCAAAGATGTGCAGGTTAGGTAGATTGGCCATGCTAAATTGCCCATAGTGTTCAGGGATGTGTAGCTTAGGTGGGTTATAGGGGGATGGGTCTGGGTGGGATGCACTGAGGTTTGGTGTGGACTTGTTGGGCCGAAGGGCCTGTTTCCACACTACAGGGATTCTGTAATTCTGTGATTCACATTATCTGTCCTGTACTCGTCTGGCACCCCTGCTGTTGAGAGAAAGGAATTGAAAATTGCTGTCAGAGCTCCTGCAATCCTTGATTCCTACAGCAGCTGGGCCTGGAGGTTTGTTCACTTTCAAGTCCACTAAAACCTCCTCTCTCTCAAAGCTAATCTATTCAAACATATCAAAGTGTCACTCTCTGATTTCTATACTTACAACACCCTCTCTACAGTGGATATAAATGCTAAGCACACATTTAAACCCTCAGCTACGCCTTTTGGCTCAACATACAGATTGCCACTTTGGTCAATCATCACAGAATTGTTAAGGTGCAGAAGGAGGCCATTTGACTTATCATGCCTGCACTGGCACTTCAAAGAGCATCATTACCCAGTGCCAATCTTCTGCTTTTTCTCCATATCTTTGCACACTATTTATATTCAAATAAAATGCTTTTGGATTATTGAGACTATGACCTGTTCCCTCTTCACTCTCCTAATTCATTATTTAAGCAAACCCCTGCACTTTCTGTACTCCTCTAGGATGTCCACTGTTTGAGACTTTGGTATCGACCATAAATGTCTTTATTTTTCTAATCCGATCCTATATATCCCTTGCTGTCCAGACTCTCTGAACTTGTTGGTCTTAGCCTTCACCATTACATAAACTTTGAAGGCTGCTAGAGCTGACTGAAGACCTGCTGAGCTGCATCAACACCTAAGATAACAAGGTGTAGCTGATGTCCTGCTCCTCTGATGCTGCTTGGCCTGCTGTGTTCATCCAGCTTTACACTTTGTTATCTCAGATTCTCCAGCATCGCCAGTTCCTACTATCTCTGCATCAACACGTAACTTGTTAAGAATCTCTTTGACAATGGGGCCATTGCATAAAGGAAAGTTCTGACTTCCAGCTATTACTGCTTTAAGTGGAGACCTGAGGCTGTTCTGTACCTGTGGAATTGTATCTTCCACAACTCCGAGTTAAATGCCTATAATGATTCTTTGATAGCGTTGAAGGGCTTCAGGCAAGGTAAGATCTGCTCAATTGACACGGATTTACTATCAGTTTGAAATATGACTCTCATTACCTCATTTTGGTTAATCTTCAAGTCTGTATTCAGGGAGTCAGACAGAATTTTTAGAAGAATTACACAGAATCATTTCAGGTTGAAGACCTGTCATCAGAATTAGTTAACCCTGTTCCTTTTCACAGAGGCTGCCTGACCTGCTCAGTATTTCCAATATTTTAAAGTTTATATTTCAGAATTTTCTATTCCTGAATTTTACTCTTTTCATTTTCAGTGACACTGTATTTCTGAGCCATATCACCATGATCTTATTTAATACTGATTTAGCCGTTGTTTAAGTATGCAAAATCGATAAGATACATCTACCAACAGTGACTATTCCAAGAGCACTCTCCTGTGATAGTGTTCAAAGAACACTAGTAAAACAAATGTAGCTTTTCTAAAAATATCAGAGCAGTTCAGTTGGTAGTACTTTCATCTCAGATTCAACAGGATTTGGGTTCTTAGCATCACTCTAGAGCACAAACATTTAGGATGACAGTGTAGTAGTACTGAGGGATAGTAGCACCATTATTTTTTTGTTGACATTAAATGATGATCCCATCTGCTCTCTCAGGCGCATCTACAAAAAACTCTATGGCACTATTTCATAGAAGAGCAGGGCATTATTCCCGAAGTCATGACCAATATATATACGTCAAATTTACATTATTAACTCATAGTACTTTAAAAAGTACAGAATTATGTAAAATTCAGATTAATTGCTTATTATCATGTTGAGGATTGCGGAAGCTTGCTGTGTACAAATTGGCTCACATGTTTCCAACATTATAACAGTGAATATAGTACAATTGAAATTCATTAGCTGTAAAGCACTTTGTGACAGCTTGAAAAGTCTCTTTTTTTCTACAACAAAATCAAATTACTGTGCTATGGATTTTGGAAATGTGAAATAAAAACACAAACTGTTGAAAATGTTAGGCTGTTCTCGAAGCATCTACGGAGCGAAACAAAGCTAACATTTCAGGTTTATTCATCAGTTCAACCATAACTCCATGTTGATCCTGTTACTGTCTGCTGGAAGTAAATCTGCCCATGGGTGGAGTGTTCTCACAGGAACAAACGGCAAAAACATCACGTTAATAAAAAAACTATTTAAAGCTGATGTAATGCCATATCATGTTGAAATAAACACAGAATAATTCCCACACA